ACATGTGAACTAATATGTAAGGGTAGACATGTGAACTAATATGTAAGGGTAGACATGTGAACTAATATGTAAGGGTAGACATGTGAACTAATATGTAAGGGTAGACATGTGAACTAATATGTAAGGGTAGACATGTGAACTAATATGTAAGGGTAGACATGTGAACTAATATGTAAGGGTAGACATGTGAACTAATATGTAAGGGTAGACATGTGAACTAATATGTAAGGGTAGACATGTGAACTAATATGTAAGGGTAGACATGTGAACTAATATGTAAGGGTAGACATGTGAACTAATATGTAAGGGTAGACATGTGAACTAATATGTAAGGGTAGACATGTGAACTAATATGTAAGGGTAGACATGTGAACTAATATGTAAGGGTAGACATGTGAACTAATATGTAAGGGTAGACATGTGAACTAATATGTAAGGGTAGACATGTGAACTAATATGTAAGGGTAGACATGTGAACTAATATGTAAGGGTAGACATGTGAACTAATATGTAAGGGTAGACATGTGAACTAATATGTAAGGGTAGACATGTGAACTAATATGTAAGGGTAGACATGTGAACTAATATGTAAGGGTAGACATGTGAACTAATATGTAAGGGTAGACATGTGAACTAATATGTAAGGGTAGACATGTGAACTAATATGTAAGGGTAGACATGTGAACTAATATGTAAGGGTAGACATGTGAACTAATATGTAAGGGTAGACATGTGAACTAATATGTAAGGGTAGACATGTGAACTAATATGTAAGGGTAGACATGTGAACTAATATGTAAGGGTAGACATGTGAACTAATATGTAAGGGTAGACATGTGAACTAATATGTAAGGGTAGACATGTGAACTAATATGTAAGGGTAGACATGTGAACTAATATGTAAGGGTAGACATGTGAACTAATATGTAAGGGTAGACATGTGAACTAATATGTAAGGGTAGACATGTGAACTAATATGTAAGGGTAGACATGTGAACTAATATGTAAGGGTAGACATGTGAACTAATATGTAAGGGTAGACATGTGAACTAATATGTAAGGGTAGACATGTGAACTAATATGTAAGGGTAGACATGTGAACTAATATGTAAGGGTAGACATGTGAACTAATATGTAAGGGTAGACATGTGAACTAATATGTAAGGGTAGACATGTGAACTAATATGTAAGGGTAGACATGTGAACTAATATGTAAGGGTAGACATGTGAACTAATATGTAAGGGTAGACATGTGAACTAATATGTAAGGGTAGACATGTGAACTAATATGTAAGGGTAGACATGTGAACTAATATGTAAGGGTAGACATGTGAACTAATATGTAAGGGTAGACATGTGAACTAATATGTAAGGGTAGACATGTGAACTAATATGTAAGGGTAGACATGTGAACTAATATGTAAGGGTAGACATGTGAACTAATATGTAAGGGTAGACATGTGAACTAATATGTAAGGGTAGACATGTGAACTAATATGTAAGGGTAGACATGTGAACTAATATGTAAGGGTAGACATGTGAACTAATATGTAAGGGTAGACATGTGAACTAATATGTAAGGGTAGACATGTGAACTAATATGTAAGGGTAGACATGTGAACTAATATGTAAGGGTAGACATGTGAACTAATATGTAAGGGTAGACATGTGAACTAATATGTAAGGGTAGACATGTGAACTAATATGTAAGGGTAGACATGTGAACTAATATGTAAGGGTAGACATGTGAACTAATATGTAAGGGTAGACATGTGAACTAATATGTAAGGGTAGACATGTGAACTAATATGTAAGGGTAGACATGTGAACTAATATGTAAGGGTAGACATGTGAACTAATATGTAAGGGTAGACATGTGAACTAATATGTAAGGGTAGACATGTGAACTAATATGTAAGGGTAGACATGTGAACTAATATGTAAGGGTAGACATGTGAACTAATATGTAAGGGTAGACATGTGAACTAATATGTAAGGGTAGACATGTGAACTAATATGTAAGGGTAGACATGTGAACTAATATGTAAGGGTAGACATGTGAACTAATATGTCAGGGTAGACATGTGAACTAATATGAAAGGGTAGATATGTGAACTAATATGAAAGGGTAGACATGTGAACTAATATGTAAGGGTAGACATGTGAAATAATATGTAAGGGTAGACATGTGAACTAATATGTCAGGGTAGACATGTGAACTAATATGAAAGGGTAGATATGTGAACTAATATGAAAGGGTAGACATGTGAACTAATATGTAAGGGTAGACATGTGAAATAATATGTAAGGGTACACATGTGAAATTATATGTAAGAGTAAACATGTGAACTAATATGTAACGGTAGACATGTGAAATAATATGTCAGGGTAGACATGTGAACTAATATGTTAGGGTAGACATGTGAACTAATATGTAAGGGAAGACATGTGAACTAATAGGTAAGGGTAGACATGTGAACTAATGTGTAAGGGTAAACATGTGAACTAATATGTTAGGGTAGACATGTGAACTAATATGTAAGGGAAGACTTGTGAACTAATAGGTAAGGGTAGACATGTGCAATCTTAATGTTTGCTTTTTATGTTTAGATTTAATTTCTACAAATCAAAAGTTAAATGTATAGAATATATTGTCAAACAGGTCTTCGTTTTCATATACCTTTGTATTATCGGCTTTTCTTTTCTTTTCTATTGCTAACACTTATGGGTCACAAGGTAGATCTTGTCGTGTTAATTAATAAGTTAGGTAACTGAGATTTTCAACAGGGGATATTTCAATCGACGCTGGAGCAGTGTTACAGTTACCGTCAAGATTTGGTTAACAAGATGCGGGTGTTGATGTATGCCATAATCAAAAGGCATGTTCACTCTTTCTAAAGTCGTACGTGACTAGCATACTCTCCTGGGTTTGACTTTAGATGAGATACATGAGGGTACAACATGTGTTGGAGGAAACGCTTACCCTTCCGGAACAAATGGAGGAAACGCTTACCCTTCCGGAACAAATGGTTTCTCTTTGGTTATTGTTTAGGTTCCTAATGTTTTTCGTTTAATTTTTGACATACCAAAGTATCTGAAGTAGCACAATGCCTTTGCCAAATAACGTTAGAAAGAAATTCATAAGTTATATTTACATCTATGTATTAATTGATGCCACTGTCTGATTTTAGACAGATTTAAGGTACTAGGCAATGTTTTGTTGATGGACACTATCACAATAACTGAAAAAAATCATCGTCTTGTGGTGTAGACTGCATATAACATAGTTATCGACAAGCAAATGTTCTTGTAACAAAAGTCAAAAACAAACAAACCAAAACGCAACTACGACCAACATAATCCTACTCAAAATTCCCATTTGAAATGTCCATCCACGAGAAAGAGTGATTTTGTTGTTTCATATCTGATGTCTGTCAGGTCTTTAATCAAACCCACCACAAATAAGTCATCCGTCCCGTTTGGTAGTTTGCAAACAGAGGTCAATGATGCGATTTTGCCTTGATCAAGGTGGATCCTAACAAAATATATATTGTGGTCACTACAAAGGAAGCAACACAATATCGTCTGGTTGTATTGAGTGCTGCTCCATGACAGCCACTCTCTCCGTTACATATGTATACCTCCATGTGGCTACTGATGAATTCTAGTGATTATAGATCTCGTGTCAGCCAAGTTTCTGTTCCAACTACGATATCATGAACTTCAAGCAGGGTATCTAATTATTAATGTCTAAACATAGTTATTGGTAACCGAGGGCTCGGAACTACACCCAGAGTTCAAAGTTCAACATAGGCTATAATGTCTCTTTAGTAACAAATCCAGGTGTAAGAAAGATAATTCATGTAATTAAAGCTTCCACAACCAAAGTCCTTGATACGATAACAATTATGTAAACAAGACCATTATACAGAGTTAACTCCCTTGTATAACTAATATGACCAGAGGCTTAGTAATTAATAGTATAAGGGTAGAGTTCGAATGAAGGACACTGTGGCCCATCAGGGTGTAAAAGCTAAGATCCTGACATACCCCTTTCACATAAGGAGCGGGACCCAAAGGCGGGAAATTGGTTATTTTTTTCAAAACCTGATAATTAAAACTGTTCAAATCAAAGAGCTTTCGGGGATAGAAATGTTCTATGACCCTTCATCAAAGTAAATGCTCGCCCTCCCCCAGAGAGGGGGTCTGATATATTTCACATGGAAATAATGCTTTCGTGTTTCTTTGTTCTGTTGAAGTTGGGCCTACTTTACTAATCTTAAAAGAAAAAAATAACAAAATACCATTATATCTCATCGTTATAAGATAAGTTTGATTTTGTTTAAGTGGTTTTTTTTTATATATATTTGATCAAAATGGGTAATGATCTTTATTGCTATAATTTGAAAACATTATCATTTTCACTTCTCATCTCCACAACAAAAATGACTGAGTACGATTCCGGTGACCGTTAATGCCTTTACCTGTTCTTCTTATTATTATTAACATTAGATTACACAATGACTTGCACTAGAACTAATATAATGCCACAGGGGTCTGTTACGTTGTTATAATGGCCGTATGATTAACATACATTGTATGCATACTAGCTATATGCTGTAAACATTATATAATTGTGTCTGGCCTCTGTGGTGGATATGATCGAGTTTCTGTTTACAACTTCCCCCCAGGTTTGGTATACCTGTGCTATATGTTTACTCTACACTTACAATCGCTTGAACCGACATTTCTCCCGGTATATGTGCACAGCACACACATATACATGGCCTAGACTCACCTGAACTCAACACTTACCTGGGGATGTGAACGTTGGACTGTGAGTATATGCAGATAACAAACTCCAATCAAATCTAACTTTAAAATGACATCATTCGTATACTAATAACACCATGTATATTCCACGTTGACAAAAGATTTACTAGCCATTGTTCACGAGCATCTTTGTTCACTGTGTAAAATGGCTTTACATTATCTTACAGATTTGCTGGGAGGGGGAGGACATTCATCCATGAACGCCAGTACGTTAACAGGTAGGTAACTGTTTACAGAAACAGCTGAGTTGGTGTCTATGTAGATAGGTGTGTGTAAGACACGGAAGATGTATTAGAGGTTAACCTGCATGTCTATTATTATAAGTTTACTTATAAATTTTGTAAACAAACGACGTATGTATATATTTCTACACAACTAGGTCACAGCCAGGAACCATTCACGTTCTCCTACATACCACTAACATGTGACCGGTGGCTACAGTCAGGCCATAAAGTATTCAGAAGTATTCATATTTAGCCCTGAGGTTTAACTGATCTTCTTACGTATATCATAACTCTTATTTATAAGTTATAAACATTCTGTATATTATGCTTTAAATTCCATCGTGTATACATTGTGTGAATAACAAATCATGAAGTTCAGTAACGATCCTCTATAATATATTGACGTAACGCAGCGCCGCCAGCTTTCACATATAAACGACTGTATTAGTGTGAATTAGCCTCTTCTCTATCTTAGTCAACGAAAACAAGATCGTGAAAATATCAAATTCAAACAAACAACACACATTACTGAGTACTGTTTTAGTATTGCTTCATAAACCATGACATTAAACCGAGAAGGCTTGATATCAACTCCGCAGCTAAGCAGTAAGCTGACAACGCATTGTAAGACATCAGCATTATAATGATTTATAATCCAATACATTTAAGCTTAATTCTCTATTAAACTGGACGTAATACAGGGCCCTATGAAATCTCATGTGAAGTTGACAATGCTCCATGAACATTGATCTTTAAAGTGACAATACTTTATTACGCACATGTTAGCACTGAAAGTACCATATAAAGTCTGATGTGAAACTGACAATGCACTCAATCAAGACGATAAACTGACAATGCTCTGTAAAATATGGAGTTTTGCTGAAGCTGACTCTACATTCTTTGCTACAAAACTGGCCCAGTCTTTAAAATATCTGTAATTTTAATAAGCATTTAGCTCAGATATTTGGAAAATCTATTCTTCAATCAAATCAATTTTTGTTTCATTGTGTTTAGATGATAACTCCAAGATTGAAAGCTTTAATCTTAGACCCTCAGCATTGATCGATAAACAGTGTGGAATTTTATATCACATACATGTTTTTTATATTTGTCTTTCAGTACCTATTTCTACGACCCCTCGACCTATGATGGGAGACGAAAACCAAGAAGTCCCTACCGAAGCAGGTACTTGTATTATTAGGATCGCCTCGCTTGTTTATGTAACACGGGATATAGTGGTCAATGCTCTTAATATATATAGGTTACAATCACAACTGCAAACGTCTTTATTTACAAAGAAAGGCAAGGCATTACAACACATTTTGAAAAATAAACATAGAAGTAAATTTTTGTTATTATTGAAGTATTGATTGTAGCATTAGATATAATATTACTTCTTATTGCTTTCACCATCAAAACGATAGGGCCAGACTTATGGGTTTTGATCAGTATATATAAGTCACGAAATCAATTTATCTTAAACCCATGGGATCGCTTTATATATGTTGTATTATACAACTTGCTAAACCATTCCACGTGGGTAATTTCTGGAATATAACACAAATATCTATCTGTGAATGGAAGAGCACTTTACTTCTGTAGCATTACGTTGAACCTTACCGAGTCAGCGGTGAGAGCTCTTCAATTCATAACTGTCAACCGCTATTAAATTCAGATCAGATCGCAGTTAAAGTTTATTAAAACATCGAAAGGATGCATATTATAGACGATGAACGATGTACAGATGTTATTGGCTCCGACAACTCATCAATATACTAATATGCCCTGTGTTGAAAGTCAACAGCACGCGTGTACGTGGTGCTGCTAGCTTGTATGTGTTGGAGGGTGTAGGATTGTGATATTTAATTAAAAAGATTTAATACCGCACCCGGAATAAAAAAAATTAAAGGAAAGAACAATTTCTTTTCCACTTTATTCGGATTATGTTCTTAAATCATCCATCATTGACAATAACACGCGCGCTTTGCATTCTAACTCTTGATTAGGTAACTAAACAGAAACTCACTTGATAAAGCTGAGCAATGATTGGTCTGTCACATGCTAAGATTACCCCCTAAACTAGTAGCTAAACGGAGAGTACTTCTCGTCACCAATGATAGAAATTTATGTACCGGTGGTCGGAGGAGAATCGATACCGACCAGGCTGACGGAAACGGTTGGATTTTATCCGACTTTTACAACGGAAATGAATCTGATTTTAACACGAGAGGCTTTGTGTTAAAGGTATTTATGTACAGTGCTTGGCTATCTCCATGCAACCAACGAATGTAAACTTTAATATACAAACCAGAGGATTTTCGGCACATGGGAAAGGTAGATAACTACGATTACCGCAGCTCATTTAACAATGAGTGCACAAGAAAGGTACAACCTCTCTAAATATTAAATATTTTGCGTAAAACACACAGATATGAGATACTTAAGAAGACACATTGCCGTAATGCAAAAAGGTCATGTTATTTTTAACACTATGAAATCAACACAATCATTATAAATATCTGTTTGCGCTTCAATAACAACATTTAAAAAAAATAGATCAGTTGAATAAAATGAGGTTTGTTTAGTGTTAGGAAGCTGTCATGTTTCATGTGTGTTCGAATCCTGGGCTCTGTTTTGATACATTATGTTTTCGTCGCTAATACAAGATGATAACGGTGGGAAGATTATAGCTTAGATTTGCGAATAGAGTGATAGAAATATATGTCAAGTACAGTGAGATAAGGGCACATTATTCTAAGCGACATAAAAGGACTGTGTTTTAGAGATTCGTGTCAATGCAGTTATAAAAATACGCTCATATTAAACATGATATAAAATTGGACATTGGTTCATAAAACTGGTATCCTAAGATCAGAAACAGAGTTCAAACGTACTGTCAAAAGAGACATGCAATAAAGATATATACAATGGCACCATAACAAATATGTTTTTAACAAAAACCACTGGTTTACCTGTTACCTTAGCCAAGGCTTACCAAGTGAAACCAAGGCAAAACAAGTGAACCCAAGGCTTACCAAGTGAAACCAAGACATACCAAATAAAACTTAGTCTTACCAAGTGAAACTAAGGCTTACCAAGTGAAACCCGGTGTGGTTGACGTTTAACAAGTGTTATGACTGCATTCTCTCTCTCCTTCAGGTGCAATCGCCGGGGCTGTGTTCGGCATTGTTGTCTGTCTCGTCATACTTGGTGTAGCAGCTTTCATGTACCGCAGACATAAAAGGTAAGTAGTGCAAGTCTTCTTACGCCTATTCTTTAATTCTTGGAATGTATTGTAGTTTATATATATATATATATATATGTGTGTGCGTGTGTGTGTGTGTGTGTGTTGAAGCAAAATTCAGAGCATACGTTCAGATAAATCAGACAGGGGAAATGCCAGAAAGCGATATGGAATCTGTGGTGTGTGATTTACACTCCATGCGTAATGGAAGGGAATCATAGCCATAATAATGTTGGATCAGTTTGTTATTTCTAGTTTGAAATCTAACGCCCTGTACATTTCCTTCGTTGTTGCACTAGTTTACGAGTCTTTGTCTTGTGCTTTATACTCACGTCGGCAACCAATAGTGTATGTTTATTTCCCATTGAGAATGGGTTATAGTATATAACCTAGCTCACCATATTACTCTCCTGTGTGTAAAGTGTAGAAAAATACAATTTTAAATTGAATTTATATATTTCTGTTGGGTGTTAATCCTATAGGGCGTCATAGGGTGTTTTGGAGTGTCTTGTGTGGTCACATGGCTGTTACTTTGTTACGACAGCGATTCATAAGTTGGAAGTTGATCATCCTCGACATCCAGGGGTTACGCTCACTTTAGCTCTGTGTAGAGAGCGAAAGTGAACGTAACCCCTGGCTATCTAGGATGGAAGTTGATATAGTCTCTCTTTTCTTGTTTTCACCCTTAATTTTGAATTGTTTGTTTGTCATATCGATGGTCCATTCCGGATGCCCACTGGTTTTGTTGCTTCATGGGTGTGTTTTCTCTTGCTGTTTGTCCTGCTGTTCTATGACAAATGTATCACATATGTTGAGCAAGTACGTACTATGCCCAACTCCTGGGTCTAAGTGTTGTGGGATTTGAGGTTCAGATAGCAATTCAATCAATGAAATAGTTTAGTATAGTGGCACATGTTAATGCATTCATAAAAAGATACATTTCACAAATCCAAGTAAAACCATATTAACACCCAGCCATTACTGACACGGGAGACACTTAAAACAATATTGATTTCTTCCTAACATCTGACTTTGATACCGTTTATGGAATACACGTTATTGATATATGCGTAGTCCAATCCTTGATACATAGAGAATAATACATGCCTTTTTCCATATCACACCCAGTATTAACCCGAGACTGCAATATCAGCCCAAGGGCTGAAGGCCCGAGGGCTGATATTGGTCGAGGGTTGATACTGGTTATATGCGTAGTCCAATCCTTGATACACGTGATTATGACTACTTCTTGTCACTACTGTGACCTCTGTTAATGTCTATACATTGTAGACTCTCGCACGTATTTCAGTACAGCTAGGTTTCTTCCGGACTGGTTTGAGGGTAAAATAGCCCACTGTTAACACCATGTCTTTCATTTATCTTACAGTCGCTTTTTGGTCATTTTTTTCTGATGAAGATCAACGCATACATATCGTACTTAAGTCATCAGTATATCATTCAGAAACCTAGCCGTACAGTTAAGTACATGAGGAAAAAGTAGGAGTTAAATTTTACTTAGCTTTAGACATAGTGTTGTATTGTTAAGAAAAACGTTAGGAGCTAAATTGTACCTAGCCATTAAATGTTATAATGTGAAATTGTTCCAGAGAGAGGGAAGAACTGAGGAGAGCCAAGCGTTCTCAAATGTCGTCTATGTTAAACGCTGGGGTGTATATGGACACGACGACCACAGACAGTCTAGTCCCCAGCCATATTGTGACAGGACCACACCCAAACCCCCGAAACAGTGCCTACAAATCTCTCAACACGCAACCGGATATGTATGACCAAGACTCAGACGAGGAAATATGAGGCACTTCACCATGAATGATGGGATACTATTACAAGCCCGTCACACTGGATGTGTGTAAACTGTTGAACACATGTACACATTCAACTTAATGAATGGCACAACATGTGATCATGTGGAAATAAAAGCGATCACTGGCAAAGCATTATTTAAATGTGATCACGTGGGTTATTAAGCCAGTATGCAATTGTGTAACCCTACAGGCTCGCCTGGATAACGTCTTAACATTTGATCATGAGCAAGCTAATGCTAGCAACAAAATGGTGATAATAAGAACGTTTGATGACGTACAATAAATTATGAAAGAGAACGTGTAAAGTGATAACCAGAAAACAACTGATCTCGGGTGGTGATCTGTTGGTTTGTCATTACTTACATGGCGGTATGACGTAGGTAATCTTGTACAAGATAATCATAATACTGGTATTAGTTCATGGTTGTATCTGTTCATTACACAAAACGGACACACTATGAATGCGTGCATTTACCTGATAGATGATGGTTATGTTGATTGTCGCTATTGGACTGGTGAATACTCAAGATAAACAGAGGTGTCTTAATTTTATGTATGGTTTGCTCTTCACATGTCCATCTCATATCTACAAAATATATTTTACAAACAAATTTCTAGCACCTTGTTTATCATTTTTCATTTTAATACGATGACGCAAATTGTGTTTTTGAAATAATGTAGAAAAAAAGTATGCTTGATTCCATTGTCTGATACTGTTCAACTGTAAAACTGTGACTTGAATAGTAATGCTTCCAATTAGTAATTAATTATTCGTTACATAATGCGCTGGTTTTGTTCTTTGTACTAAGTCAGCTATTTTCTGCTATTTTTCTAAATTCCCCATGTGGAATTGATAAGTTATTGCTGAAAAAATTGGTTACAGTTACAAATATCTTTTCTTCGATGTTTTGTTGCTTCAACTTTCAAATACTTATGGATGTCATCTTATAAATTGTACGTCATCATTGCGATAGTGCCAAAAACCACATACAATATGTATACATTGTTACGTTACAATTGGCAGATAGGCATTTTGCATTCATTACAGATTGATACAAGATCGTGTCACTGTTACGGAATACAACAGTATAAAATGTATCGTTACATTCGTCTAACTTTGAAATGTTCCAAAACACATAAAGAATAACTGACATTGTATTGCTAATATAAAATGTGTTCTTTTTAATCGGTTTTAATTATAGATGATCATTTTGCTATACTATCATTTATGGAAAATACTTCAACTCATTCACCCCTTAAAATTCACAATAAACTATTCAAAGCTTTGAATTGGAAGGGTTTAAATGTGTCGTCATGGGTGAATGATTGAAAATAAATCATTATATGTTGTAGCCAAGATTAAAAGGAATTACCTTAGAAGGAGGGAACGATATGTTGTGTGATCGTTGTGTTGTAAATTCTTCGATTTGTGATGTTTTATATGGCGTGTAAATTTAATATTTGAATTTATTTGCTAATAAATAATACAGATGACATTAACAATCGTTCAATATTCACCAGTATTAATCGCTATGTATTTATAAAAGTTTGCGTTTTCTATTGACACAAATATTATTAGAACGATTATATTGAGAATGATCATGCAGTTAAAAGCTTGATAACTTAGCAATTTTAAATCTTCTACAGTGCCTTAAACCATGCCAAATTTATATACTGTAAACCCAGATACTTAGATAACATCCGATCGCCAAATCAAAACAATCTGTAATATGTTTCAATATAGAATATCTGTTCATCTACCTTTGTTTATTTCGTGAATCCATTTTTTCGCGATGAAAGGTCGTTTAGAGAATTCTCTGATAATAGGTCTCCCGGAAAATAAGTGTTCTATTGTAAAACCTAATATTTTCTTAATGTCATTCTACCAAACTAAAATGATGAATGTGTTTTTTTCATTTATTCGTAAAATTTTGAAAATTGTTTTATTTATTTGTGAACATTCCATTTAGTTGAACTTATCCTGACAATATGAACATAAAACGACAGAAAATATCATGTGCTTGAGTACGATATTGTGTATGTCTTGTGAAATGACCTATGGCAATATGAATTTGTGGGAATAACTTACATTGTTTATTGATTTAAAACGTGTTTTACCAGTTTAGGTGATCATTTTATTATAATATCAATGATGGAAAATAAATTAATATGTTTTGTTATTATTTTATCTGTTGAAGCCTGTTGAAGGTGTACATCAAACCGATTTTGCTTTATTATACCTGTGAATTGGAACACTTAAGGAAGAAAGTTGTGATTTGTTTACCTTCAGTACCACTGAACTCTTAATGGACAAAATGGTTAGATGGTGCAGTAAAGTGTTTATTTCTGGGTCTACAAATAGAGGCTTCCTTTCTTTGTGTTCCTAGTTATTGGTTTAGTCAGAATATGGTTTTATATTTACAGTAATTCATTAGTTGGAATAGAAAACAACGGAATCCCAGCATGTCAAAAATCGTTGTATGGATACACTTCAACCTTTTCTGATAAATGATTTTTATTGTTTTATTGACCATGAAGATGCAAGAAAAAGTAATCTCTAAGTTTAATTCTTTGATATTTTTCCTCTTACATCATAGATATTCATCAGTGTGGGGGAAAATAAAAAATAAATTCTCACAATTAGTTTGATGTTTCAGTCATATTGGATAAAATGACTGTTAGACTAAAACTATAAGTTAACGAAGTTTTTAACATACCATATTTGATTGTCTATAGAAAGAAAATAATCCGTAGGTAATGACGGGTTATATCATGTTGTTATCATGGATTATACTGATATCGCATTATCCTGTTTATGAAGCTTGTATCTGACGGGGTACGATATTTATCACGTCAACATGTGATATATATGAACCAATAGTATGGCTAGTCTTGGCAGAGGGCTGATAATGACATGTATCAAACATTCTTTATTTATAAAAACTTAACGTCTTATCATTTTACAATTATTAATGTATTAACAGTATTATTTATTGTGATAAGTAAACAATACAGTTGTGAAGGATGTCCTTGTGTGAGACACAAACAGATCGAGTAGTTATACTGTATATAACTCGTGTTTGTGATTGACTGTTGGTTTACAATGATTACATCAGTCGGTAAACCACTCGGGGAGGTTTTCTAACTGATAATGGTATTTTGGTCACAAGTGGAATTTACGTAAAATATTTTAATAAAAAAGTTCTTCATTTCTGAATTTGTACAGCTCATTGGATGTTACACATTAAACAACTTATTTCCTTAGCAATAACGCAATTTCCGATTTATGATTGGTTCTGATAAAATGTTTGTTTTTTAATTCCAACATTAATATCTGGTTGATTTATGTTATTATATCGACATATTGACGAAACGCTTTAGTCACCAAAAACAATCTAGTGGATAATTTCAACATAAGCTGATTTAAAAATTCTACTTACAAATTGTATGAAAAATACACTAAAATGTTATGATTTGAGTGACTGAAATGTTCGTCTGTTTGGCAAAGGCCATTGGTGACGCAGTAGTATTAGCAAGGCAAAAAATTCTGCGAGCAAGTTGTTAAAAAAAGAAATTGGTAAATTGTCTTTAAATCCCTAAAATGTTCATCTGGGTTTAATACAAAACTTAACAAATTCATGAGATGCAATCAATTTCAACTGAATTAGATAGAATATGCTCTTCATTCATTTCATTGCATTGCAAGACTGGTTTAAATAAAGGTGTAAGTTATACCGTAGACAATAATCGTTATGTTATCATTCCTAACGTTAAGATATATATGTCAATCATCCGACGGGTCTTCCGACAGATTATTGTGATCGCGTTCGTGTTTGATATCGTCCTAAAGTTAGGTATATTTATTGAGTCCGTGTTGTTTATATTTGTGTATTATGCCTAATAAAACATGGAAATAAAAGTAATGCTAACCATCTTTCTGTGTTTAATATGTAATGTTCAGCTTACTGGCAGGAAGTGGATGGAAGCTAGAGATGTCCTGTTTTACACGATTGTAAACCACCTAGTGGCCATACCTCTCCATGACTACATCAATAAACCACATATAGTGGCCATACTTCTCCATGACTACATCAATAAACCACATATAGTGGCCATACCTCTCCATGACTACATCAATAAACCAAATAGTGGCCATACCTCTCCATGACTACATCAATAAACCACCTAGTGGCCATCCCTCTCCACGACTACATCAATAAACCACATAGTGGCCATACCTCTCCATGACTACATCAATAAACCACCTAGTGGCCATACCTCTCCACGACTACATCAATAAACCACATAGTGGCCATACCTCTCCATGACTACATCAAGTTTGTTGATGCCAGAACCAGAGGATCCTCAGCCAACAACATCTGGCAAATCGCATCTAGAACGAACATGTAAATAATAATTCCTACCCAGAGCTAGATTTGCTCCAGCCCGTCTGTGGAGGGATTCCTGTCGGCATTACAGCCCACGGTTCTGACCGGAGTTCAACATTAGTTTCATTACCTGCTGTTTTAACCTTTTAATTATAAATTCCGGATTTTTAAGCTAGTGGCTCTATATGCACCGGAGAATCTACACTCCGTGTAGGAGTAGTCTCCGTACAGGAAGAAGTGCCTGTGAGTTTAATGTAGAGTGTTCTCCCTAACAACTGTAGACATTAACTCTTCAAAAGACCTCTTCTTGTGATCCATGAGGTACTCATATTTGGACGGTACCTTGCTGGTGTGAAGGGCTAAATAAGTTACCCATTTTTCTACTTCACATGAGTCATATTATCTTCAAAAACGCTTTAAAAAAACATTTAGTTTTTATTAGCTGTATTCTCTAGCCAAAAATATTTGGCTCGTAATGCAAGGTCAAGTCAGAAACCTTGGCGACTCTTTAGTGCAATGAGTCACGTGCACCGTAACATCGAGTCCGAAATGCATGGTCGCTTGATCATGAGGTGCCTTACACGTCTCAAACATTTCCTATACCGGTCAATTTTGTCTGAAATTCGTAACTGTAAATTATCACTAACAAAAGGCCCAAGGGCATTAGCGGTCACCTGCGTTATATTATAGGTACTGGTAGCTTTATTTTATTGTTTTGATGTGATGTGAAATCAGCATGCAAACTAAGTGAAATACAATACTTGTCATGTCATCAAAGGATAAGAATTTGAAAATATCGGTAACTGTTACCTTTGGGGCCCAGCCCTAGTCCCTGTGATTTGGGCAGGAATCCCAATTTTACAAAGTAATACTCTCATTCACCGAAGATGATTCTGACTAAGTTTGAGTAATTTTCTGCTGAAAATGGATAAAATATACCCCAAAGTGTTATTTCCCTATATAAACTTTAGTAAACATTACCCCCTCCCCAAGGGAGAATGAAAAGCTGGGGGGGG